ACTAATAAGTCACGTATGAATTAATTACAGAGACGTCGACTACAATGTTTATAAATGGTTTATATGTTGTTATTTGTCGAAAATTAATTTGTAATTAGTTACGTAATAACCATGTTTTAAATAATTGAAATTCTTCGAAGCGACAAACGGTAGACACATTGATTGATACAGTCCTTGTGTTATAAAATGACAAATCTCTGTGATAGATTCTTGGTAAGGGCCTTCTATCCGCAGAATTACCTGGCTGGAACAATAAATGCTCTTCAAGTATAGCGTTTTAACTATTTTCTTTAATAAAAAGTTTGAGTTTTTATGCACTTAATAAATATAAATTAATAAAGTAGAGCGGTCCAAAAGTCGGTTAACCGTTGCAACGATTAAATTTTCTGTCTTAACTAGTTACATTTTTTTTTAAATTAAATGTTTAGTGCATTACAAGTGTACTTGGAACACACGAAATATTGTTAACTAACTTTTGAGCCACCATATACTTTTTTTTAATGGAAAGAATTCTTTACTAATTTATAACTTTTTAACTAATTAATTAATGTTATTAATATGTTTCTGTCAGTTTCGAAAGATAAAAATCTATGGTAATTTATTAATAAGATAATTATATTCATATTCAGTGCGTAATTATTTATACATTAAGAGTATTTCTGCTCCAATGAATAAATCTGACAGAGAATTCCTTTCATTGTTGAAATTTCTAACATCTTAAGCCAGGAATATATTAAAAGATTAATTTTTAATTATTTTATTAATCAGTTTGAATAATTTTAAGTGGGCGTAATGTGTAGTTGCGATATAAATAGAGGAGAGAGAGTCGTATATTTTTAATTTATCACCAATGAAAGGTAACCTTTGCATCGATTTGATAAATTAGACGAAAGAATGCACGCAAATCTTTGCTAGAAACACGCGAAATTAATTAATTTAAAACTTTAAAATGTATTATTATAATTTCGAATTTTTATTGTTGTCCGCCTGCAGCATTTTAGGATGATAATAACTCGCTACATACTCATATATTACTTTTTTTTTTCTTTATTACATTATTCTCTAAATTCTCTTTACTCGATATTTTTTCTAATTTTTCTCAAGTACGGAAACTTAAAACCGAGAAAAAGTTTCTTTACGTAGTGATTTCATACCTGAATTCATACTTTTAAATATTTTTCCACTAGAACAGCATTGTGACAGAGAGGAAAGGGGAACATACATCTTTGGGGGATGGAAAATATTAAGAGAGATGAAAAAGAAAACATAGAGCATTAAAAGGGATGGAAAAGAAAATGGAGCGCACTAGAAGGAATGGAAAGGAAAATGGAGAGCACTAGGAGGGATGGAAAGAAAACTAGAGAGCACTAGGAGGGATGGAAAGGAATAGAGAGCACTGCGGGATGGAAAGGAAAATGGAGAGCACTAGAAGGGATGGAAAGGAAAATGGAGAGCACTAGGAGGCATGGAAAGGAAATAGAGAGCACTAGGAGGGATGGAAAGGAAATAGAGAGCACTAGGAGGGATNAAATATTTAAAATCTTTAGACTTTGTAAAAATTCTAAGAACTATAAAACTCATTACTCAATTTAAACTAAAATATACACAGGAAATGCTTTAAAACAATCAAAGAAGTATATGGTGTTGGTAAGTGCTTTGAACTTAATGCTCATATTGTTCATTCTGAGGATAAGCACTAATTCTAAAGCACTTACTGATATTGTATATTTTCTTACTTGTTTCACTGCATTAAAGAATTTTTTGTAAATATTTTATTTCATAAAAATTGATAAAAATTACAGTTTCCAGAATTTTGACCGTAGTATTAAATTATTCAAATATATTTATTTCATTTGAAGAAAGTATAACCTGTATATTTTTAAATCAGAATGATTGTGTACAGGAAATGTGACGTGATAATGCCCAAGAACATAATAATAAAAGTCAAATTTTAATTTTTATAAAATACTAGTTTTCATATTCATATTGTTGACCTTTTATATCTGAAAAATTTCTTGGAACAAAAGTTATAAAAGTTCTGGACTCATGCAGAAATTATAAATTTAGTTTTGTTGTCAGATGTTGTGCAGAATATAAAATGAAAAACTGACAGATTGTTAGGTAATGGTATGCAAGTATTGTTCTAATATCAAATTTCATTTATAACCAGAGAATTATAACTCTGATTCTAAAGTTTATTTGCACTCACATTTGCTATAAATACCTCAAGAAGTGTGGAAATATTTCTGATATAATTTAAATTTGTTTTTATCTTCTAAATCAGTCAATATTTTGGCACAATCATACAACTTATAATTCTAGTAAATGGTGTTTTTATATATTTATCAAGCTTATTTTGAATTGTAATTCCTTAAATCATTGACAATTACATTTTATAAAGTTATATTGGGTAAGGCTATATCAAGTTAAAATATAAAATATTACATTTAGATATCACATTGAAAATTAATTATACAAAACATCATAGAATAAATGTAAGAACTGAAAATAATATCCTGTTTGTGCTAATTTAGTTTTCAATACTGATGTTATATTTTCTTGTTTTTATTAAAAACACTGATATTTGTTAGTGTTGGAGAATGTAATAAGAAACATTCAGATCATTAGTCATTGTATTCATTTTTTCTTGTTGCATTAGTGCAGATAATGAGGCCGATCAATAAAAAAATTCCAATTAGTTACATGTTTATGTAGTTTCACTACACTTTGGAAATGTTTCCTAGATTCTTAATAAACATATAATATAATTAAAACTTGTTATTGTTAGCTGTATTGTTGTTGTTCTTGGTTGTGTTATTGAAACGATGGTTCATTATTATAGCTAACCAGAGCTTTCAACCCATGTTGTCGTCTTTAATTTCTAGTAGCTTGGTAATAGGAAGAAGCTTTTAGTGATTTTGTTATGCTCTTTCTTCTCAGTCTGAATTCTGCATAATCTTACTGATATTAGAAAAATGTTTTAGAAAGTTTCTATTCCTACTGGTAATCAGGAGTAATGGAGAGAATGCAGAGTTGTCATCTCCTTATTTTGGAAAATTAAATTTTTGTAAATTCTATTGAAAAATGTTTTTATCTTTCCACACATATCATAAAACTAAATATATTATAGTAAGTGCTAAGATGTCCATTTTCAAAAAATGAAAGAGGTACAGTTATTTTGAAGAGAAAATTAAAAATCAATATACATTTCTCTTTAATTCAGAAATAGAATTTTTTGACAAGAGTTTCATCATTTTACAGATTTAGATATGAAAATTACAATATGATAATAGGTTTTAATAATGAAATTTGCAGTTTATTGTGAAGTATTCTACTAGCTTTAAATTCTCGAAAGATTATAGTCCTTTAATTTATCAATGTTAATTTAAAAATATATTTTAAAAAATTTAAATATATATTTATTTGTGGATTTTTTTCTTTTTTTACTTCTTTATATATAATTCCGCTAATCCAAATAACACTGTGCATTAATGTGTGCACTATATATGTCAAACACACGTATTGATGTCACATATTTTATTAATCATTACATTAAATATCAGTAAATAATCAAAGCATGCCTTACATTACTTATTAAGCTATGTTATATATTTAAAATCAGGTTAACTCATGATTACTTCCTAATTACATGGCATTTTTCTATTAATAAAAGAAATTTTAATAAAAATGAATTATTAATAGTTTTTGAATTAGAGAATATCATTTTATATAATAAATAATAGGAATTTGATATTTTAATGATAAACGATATTTTAAAATTATTTCTTTTTCACGAGAAGAATCTCTGATTTTTCTTTGTGATCTCATTAACACAAATATTAACTTTTTTAATGTTTATACAGCTTATTTCCTTCTCCCAGCTTGAATACATATCATTGATTGAACTCATTAAATATGTCATAAGAATGATTATCTTAAACTTAAAACTATAAAATGTGTTTAAATTTAGAAAATTGCAAAGTTTTGCAATAATTTATTACAAAGTAACTTGTGCTGATTCTAATTTAGTCAGAAATCTTAAAATAGAATGAAAATAATAATCTATTTGTATATGTTTAAAAAATATCAATTGTAAAGCAATGCAAAATCCCCCCCAAAAGCGCATTGCCATATATATGTTATAATTAAATAATAATACATTTGTTTATTATTAGATTTTCAGTCAAAAAATTATTAACCAAGTTTTTTTGGATTTTAATGAAAAGTTTTTTTAAATAATAAAATGTTAAAAATTCATTTAATGTAAAATACAGTATATAAAAATTTAGTCATGATGTCATTTGTGTTCTTCGAAAACTTTATGACACAGCCTTGTTTTTACATTTCTTTTTGGGTCAGTCCGGTGGAACTCGAAAGTAGTATTATTTGTTATTTTCTTGACAACCATTAAACTAGAAAGAAAACAGAAAATAAAAATATCGTCAACTATATTATTAATCAGTTTATCTAAAAGATTATCATGTTTTGAATATAATAGAATAATCTTAAATTAGATAACAAAGGTGTCAATAAGTAAGGTTAAAAATTAAATAGGAGTAAATTATGATTAATTAACAATACAAATGATTTAAATGCAAAATATTTCTGTAAATGACAAATTTTAAAAAATATCTTATAAATACTGTATTAATTTTTAGTACTGTACATTAAACTTTATAAATTAAAAAAAAAATATTACTTTTAAAAAATCAATTTTTCAAAAATATTTCCTCAAAATTGATGAAAAAACTTTATGGGTTAATTGTACATAAATAACCCCTGCTGGTCTTATGTGATGATTCTACTTTATGTAAAACGATTTTTAAATTTTATTTTTATTTTTAAAAAATATGAAAACTTGTATTTAAAAATTTTAAGTGTGAAGTGTCTAATGTATTGATTATTTTATAATTTTAAATGATAATTTTAACATTAAGTAATTTAAGATTTATTCACATTAAGGTCCAGTATTGAATTTGTTTTCTTTTCTGTTTCCACAGAAGTAACAGCTGTATCCAGCAGTTATGCATGTTAACAAAAGTGTTGAGTGAATCCAAATGTTGATGTTACATAGGGGGTAAGTAGTACTTACATTTAAAAATTGATTTTATCCAAGACATTTGTTTACTTAAATGACAGTTAATATTATTTTCTTGTTTATATAATTAAATAAAATTTTTCTTCTTTATTTATTACAGAAAGATGTGGAATATTTGGGATTATACTACTTGAAGTTTTAATCCACAGTTATGTTTACTGCCAATTATTGTTTCATTATCATTGTGCCTCATTTTTTCTGTGAGTGGATAATGGACCTAACCACTCCTCCAGGTTAATGTCTAGGAATATTTATAATATCAAAGCTTATATTTCCTTTGTTAAATTCCTTAATTGTTGAAAATACTGTGTTGTTTGTGCCTTAAACTGGACATAAGTGATTTGTGCTGCTTGGCACATTGTTTGTGAACTTTTAAACTGTTTTCCGGGTCCAAACAATGGCCCGATATGGAGAACAAGAATTCATAGATTGTTTGAAGAAATCTGCAAAGAATCGGACTCCTGAGGTGAGTTCATTTTCTTATGTCATTATAATAATTTGCATTTGGATGTAAATAACCTTTCATACATCAGAAATTACCAACAATTGAACTTTTTATCTTCCTTAACCTTGTGAATATAATTTTTTCCACATCTGGTTATTTAGGGAGAGGCAATTATTTCAGGTTGCTTAATTCAGAAATATGGGCTATGACATGGAAGTAATTTTTTGTAATTTTATGCATTTTGAAACTAAGGATTATTTTGAATTCTATAGAATAATGACAGATTTTGAAGCTAGATTATATTGAACATCATTCTTAGTTTTATGATAATAATTACATATACTTTACCCCTTGTGTTTATAAAATTAAACTTAAAAAGTTTGATGTACTTTTATAAGAATTACATTTAAATTTTTCTACAATTTTAATGCATTTTTAAGAAAATTTCATTTTAAAACTAATATAGTGAGAATAAAAATTTTCTATAATTGTCAAGGTTATTTAGATGCAATGGAATACCAGTGATATTCTTCCTGTTCTGTGAATTATTTCTTTATAGTTTCTTTGACTCAAAAATATATTTTTAATTGTAAATAAATTACTTTTTATCTGTATACAGATTTCAAAATTGATAAGTAAGACTTACAATAAAATTCAGTTTCTCAACGTTAAATTTTTAATTGTAAATAAATAGTAATTTAATGAAAAATGAGCAATTATTTATTCTGACATCGTCACAATGCCGGCCTGCAANTATAAAATTTATGTGTGGAGTTATATTAAATATCAGTTCTCTGGATACAAAAAGATTATTATTAAATTGTTCAAGATGTATTTAATCACATATAAATAATTTAATAAAGTTATTTATCAACTTTGTAATCTTACTTTTTAGCATGTAGTGTTTAGTTAGCTTAAGTTGTATATATCTCATATAGATCTTAGCATGTAAGTAGTAATAATAATTCTGATTTCCTGTTTCTATAAAGCAGTATTCTGTGCAATTTTCTATCATGTTTAATGCCTAAAAATAAGACATCTCAGTCCCTATGAGGGCACTCAAGGCACCATTGATAAATAACTTTTACTACTGGAAGATATCTCAGTTCATATTTAGTTTGGACTCTTGATTTATCATGGATCTGGTTATGGCTTTGCTCCTTATTCATCATACCTGTTCTGTCTATCCCATTATAAGTTTGTTCTATTGGTATTGGACAAAATTGGTGAAAGAATTTACAGCAAAAACTCTATTAAATGGGCTAAAGCATATATTCTCCTTCTTTAAAACTAACTCTAATGACTATATTATCCTGTGTTGCTAAAATGTTTAAGATTAATTTGTATGTAATTTTTACAGATTTTTTTTTTATAACCAAGATCCCAGTTATTCAAACCTGGTTAATGAGTTTATACAGTACATGGTTTTGCATGACTAATCCAATTAATTTTCCCTACTTTTCTTTATAATTTATAGATTTTCTGCTCTTGTAACTAACCATTGTCAGAGTTAACATTATCTCTTCTAAATTAGTTCTTCTAATCTTATTCAATAGATTGTCTTCTTCTAACTTATAATTTCTTCTCATTTACAAATCCAGTCTCTCCAATGGATTTCAATAATTTTTTTATTGCATTTACCAGTTTCATTATTATTATTTATCGCACATTGAAACTTCATTCTGTGTTGAAAAATCTTTCATGAAACTTTATCTAATCTGGACTTTAAATTTAATTTCTTCACCTTTTTTATTTATTTATTTATCTTTTTTAAACTTATTATCTTTTGAAATTTCAATTATTATATTGCATAAAGATACGTATTTATGACTAGAATTTGAATTTTAAAATTATACAGATGGAATGAGAGCAGTGTGCCAAGTCTTTAAATTAACAAAAAAAATTGTGTTTGCAAATGAAACAGAAATTTTTTCTTAAAATTAATTATCAAAGAATAATTTCCAAGAACTGAAGCAAGTGAGAGAATAAATGCAATTTTGCTTTGACAATTTACCTTTCTCTGACTTGTACAGTAGACTTTTATTATGCAGTATAAATCAATTTGTATAAACTTGTTTCTTATCATATAGTAGAAAATTCATTATACAACACAAAACAGGATAACTGACTGAGAGGACGTTTGAGGTTTTGTGTTGTCTTGCACACTATTAGGTACAGATTTTCACCTAACCTTTGAGAGACAGATTTGAATGCATGTATACGTTTCCTTAAGCTGTTTCTTGTCAAAAAGACTCATTTACTTCATTGTAAAAAGAGAAGACACTGAGGTCGGCGTTACGTGTGCGTTTTTTTAATCGCTAGTACTTAAAACGCACACGTAATGCTGACCTCAGTGTCTTCTCTTTTTACAATATAGTATTTTGGCGTGATCGTCAGCATATTGATCACTCATTTACTTCATTTCTGGATAACAAAGTTGCAACTAATGCATTTCAGGAAGATTTTCCAGAAATAAATAAAACAAATCCTTTTGACAAGAAATGGTTAATAAATTGTAATTACATTTGTTTTTTATTTGAATTTATATATTCTATTTTAGAACACCGTTATTTTCTCATTTAACCTGAGTATGGTCTATCGAATAGGCCGAAAACGTTAGTTACGTTTAAATAAATAATCTCAGCAACTTAAGGTGTAGTTGGGTGGTGGTCTATTAATTATTTTCTGAGTGAGTTTGTTAATTATTTGTTTTGTCATTTTGTTTAGTTGTTACAAATTTAATAGGAATATACAGGACCTTATTCAAGAAATTTTATTGTATAAAGACCTTGTGCAAGGCATATATATATCTGCTAAATTTTTAATGATGAAAGCAGTGATAAAACAATTTTTATTTCACTTTGTTGGTTTTAATTCTTTTAACTTGCGTGGTCAATACATTCGTTTAAGGTCCTTTCACAAGGACTTTGGAAAAATCTCTATTTAAGATCTGTTAATTCCAAAAATTATTATACTAAATTCTGATACTTATGACATTTTAATATGTGAACAATTGCTATTTTCAGAATATTAATTTCTAATTAATATGCTTGAAAATAGCAAATAGAATGGATGTTGCTTAATCATTAAAATGAAAATGATTTTAATGGGTATTTATTTATATAGAATTTACATGCCGAGCTTTGAATTACAGTATTTAATAAATTATAAAACAAAAAAAATTTTTCAAAAATAATCTTTAGAAATAAGACTTTAATTATTAAGAAATAAAGTTTTAAAGATTTCTGAGATTAAATTTTAGAGATGAAATAATTATTTAGATTTTATAAGCAACTTACATAATGGAAATTTTTAGAAAAATAATTTCTTATCTTATTCTCTTAATTATCATTACTCTAAATTGATAAATGTAATAATCTTTGAAATGACTTTTTATTGCATATAAAGCCATGCTAGATATACTTTATCTATTGGAGATGAAAAATACAGGATGGCTCAGAAGTCAGTTAACCATTATAAAGATTAAACTGTCGTCTCATTCAAATACTTAAATACATAATCAGAACTTTTTTTGGGTCATGTTTTCACATTGTTCTGAATTCAGTTTACAGTTCATATTCATAAGTGTACCCGAAAACAAGAGAACAGTAAACTGATTTTTGGGCCATCCTTTACTCTCACGACGTAAATATGCAAAATGCCCAAAAGTCGGTTAATGCTGCTATCCTATTCAAATATTTTAATACAGTACTTAATCATATATATATATATATATTTAAATAATAATGGTACTTTTTATCACTTTTCTGTGACGATTATGATTCATATAGACGAGTAAACATGGTTAACTGAATTTTGGAAGACCCGACATGATTCACTAGTGAGTTAATATAATTTATTACTGAAAATGGACTGAAAGGTATTTTCAGGTATGAAAGAAAGAATTTTGCCTCTTAAAAAAAAAGAAAAAAAATCAATTTATTTCAGTTTTTTCCCTCCTTTTTTTAAATACAAATTGCAACTTCATCGGTATGTTGGACTTAGTTTGTTAATAAATTCACCCCGAAATTGATTGCCAGAAAATTAAATGTCAAAGTGAGGATTTATTAATAATTCCAGATTTTCATTTTAACGGAATGTTTCGAAAATCTTTATAATAACTGTAAGATAACTTCATCCATATTTAAGCGTACCATCTAAGACAATTTTGACTGTGTTTATAATTTTTGAAGGGTATTTTTATTGGGGAATTTAGAAGAACGGTAAACATTCTTTTACCTAACGACTATAGAACAGAAAAATTTATGTTACGATAACAGTTATGACATAAATATAATGTCGTATCTCTCACTAAATGCCACGACTTGCGATAAAACTAGGAGATTTAGATAAAGAAGAAGGTTGCTTAAAAGGGCATGAATCATAGTAATTGATGGTTACATTAAAATTTAATTATAATTATATAATAGTAACGAGAACGATAATTAAAATTCAATTGTCAACCGATGCGGAATCTCATAGCGAAACGAGGCAATTTAGAAAATAATGGCAAAAGTTTAACTATGCTTAATTATCTTTATGAATTAAAGGTTGAAAGAGTAATTGATAGAGATTAAATATAGATGTAACTTATGTATTTTAAGTGTGTCAATGTTTAAGATTCGAGTCATTGTTTCCATACAGAATGTGGTATATAAAAACAGGACTCGATAATTCTATATTAGGTCGGTACAGAAACCAATATGTGAAACTTGATTCAAACTGGTTATAGTGAGTCTGTACGCTCAGAAATATCTTTATTAATATAAGTAAATAATTAAAATCTGCTAAATAAATAATGGTTATATAGTTTATTGTGCGGACACAGATGACGTGTTTAAGGCGCGCCTATTTGCATTATTTACACCTGCATTTGTTGGCGATGGTACCGCAGTTTTGTGATATTCTTAGTTTATTTTGTTTAAACCTAACAATAGCTATGGTTTCTAAGAGAGATGAGTGTGTCGGTAGTGGTATCAAACGTAATTTACATTTAAGTTTCTAGCTATTCATAGTAAACT